GACACTTGGTAAGACCATGAGGGGGAGCCTATGTCCCTTGGATATAAGACAATGGGGGTAGCCCATTGCATCCCTGTTGAAGACCATGGAGGGAGTCCATGGTAGATCTATTTGTATATATGCATGACATTATGTGGTTATGTGTTTTGTGTATTTTGGGAAACTCAATAAGCGTGTGATTACAATTTTGTTGGGTGTTTTAGGTACTTCTAGTTCTAACAGCAAGGGTCCGGCTTGATGGCGCAGTGTACACTCTCCAGTATTTTCGCACTAGTTGTTTTGGATACTTTGATCTTGTGAACAATGTATTTATGTAATGGAATTTTGGAAAATAAATATGAATGAGATTTCTAATAATTAAATGAAAAATGTTTTACCTGCATTTTTTGGCTGTTACATTTTTATTATTCTCATTTTGTCAAAATGTTGTCAGAAAGTTTATTGAGTCGTTTTCTGTAAGAATGAAAATAAGTGAAAAACGATACGTAAGAACAAAAATGAATAAGAATTTGTACAAATGCATGGAAATGACATTAATTGTGTGAGGTTGAACGTATACTAAACAATTTATTCTTTTGGTAATTCTTATAGAATAGTATTGTCCACACATCCGCACAATAGTTGTCCATTCACATTATATATATATATATATATATATATATATATATATATATATATATATATATATATATATATATATATATATATATATAGGTTCATGTGAGACGACCTAATTTTGTAAGACCGTGAGACGCATTTTTTTTATTTTTTTTAATGTTTTTTAGTTAATTCAAGTTCCGAAAATAATATCTAAAAAAAGAATTTTTGAATTTTTCCATTTATTTTGCATTTTAAAATTATTTTTTAGAATATGTCAGTGTAATATTCTATTAGAATATTTCACGTATTTTTCAAAAAAAATGGAATTTATTTTTATTTATTTATTTATTTATTTTAGTTAATTCAAGTTCCGAAAATAATATTTAAAAAAAGAATTTTTAGATTTTTCCATTTATTCTGCATTTTAAAATTATTTTTTAAAATATGTCAGTTTAATATTTCAATTAGAATATTTCACTTATTTTTCAAAAAAAAACGGAATTTTTTTTATTTTTTTTAGTTAATTCAAGTTCCGAAAATAATATTTAAAAAAAGAATTTTTAGATTTTTCTATTTATTTTGCATTTTAAAATTATTTTTAGATTTGATCTCACGGTCTCATAAAATTAGAATGATCTCAAATGTGTATATATATATATATATATAATATATATATATATATATATATATATATATATATATATATATATATATATATATATATATATATATATATATATATATATATATATATATATATATATAGTGGCTAGGAAGGAGACAAAATGGTAATCTTTTTGCTTTGCTAGCAAATCTCCGATCACATATGTACTTTTGTATTAATATAAGGTATATATTATTAACTATAAATTCCATGTCCATTGTGGTTCTAGGCAATATAACTAATAACTATGGACAACAATAATAAATTGTAAAATACCCAACAAATAAACCGAAATAAGAGCTGTATGTATCTGGAATTTCTTGAGTAGTTCTAGTTCATTCTCTAAACTCTAATTTTAAGGGTCGCATTAAATCATTTCAAGACTGTTTTGAATTGTGGTGCACTTATTTTTTGTTTGATTTTTTGAAGCGAAAAGCGAATGAAGATTTATTGTATAAAATTACAGCCGCAAATATTGAAACTCGAAAGTCTATGTCAGTCAAAGTACATTAAAAAAACATTTATATATGGAAATGTGATTAATGCTCAAGGATATAAGTGTTTTCTCATTGACCAAAGAATCTAATCTTCTATCAAGTGAGTTTAAGCTGAAATCCAACGTTTGTGTTGATATATGTTCAGCTGCCTTTATACATGTTTTTCAATCTTTTCAGGTGGCAATTGCAAGATAACTGTTAATGAGAAGACATGTACGTATAAAAATAAGTTTTGATAAGAATATTGCATTTTTTTCTACCATACAAGTGATAAATAGCTAATGACTCAATCTATACAATAGTGTTTCAGTTTATTACAAGTTTTACTAATTACTAATATAAGTAACAAAGTTAATTCCTCGTCAATTAGTGCATGTATATTTGGTAAATTTTCTATAACAATTTGATAAAAATACATAACTTCTTTGTATAAAAAGTTACTTATCATTTATAGGATAAAGATTATGTCTTCTATTTACGGAATATTGCCACTATCAAAGATTACTTTTGGTAAATTTCGACTAAACTTGTTTTCCTTGTGTTGATGGGTGAAGGGTCGCTTTTAAATCAGACAATGTCATTTTCAATCTTTAATTTATTCGTGATTTAAATAATATATAAATTTTATAATATTGTCCTTTTCGTTGAAAATTTTATGCAAAACAGCTAGCAATTGCTTTCATGGATATTCTTTTAAATATTTGGAAAATCATACTCGAAGTATAAAATCTTAACATTTATAGATTTACTTGCAAATAGAAAGCGATTAAGCTGATATGTGGAATTTCCAAGGATTTATATTTACCAAAATTAGCTAATATAGATTCTCAATTCTTATAGCTATGGCTAGCAACTTATGTTTCTACTCCTCGACAAAGACAATGTCACAAGTAAAAGAAAAACCGCAGACAAAAACAGAGAAGTTTTAGTTTTTGGATGGTAAGAGGGAAACACGTGTGGATCTAACATGAATTTTTATTTTCGTGAGATTTCTACTGTGGGATAGACTGTTTGAAAAGTTGTTTCATGCAAAATGATAAAACATAAGAAAACGTGAATAGAAAATCAACACACTTTTATACTTTTCACGTTTGGTAGTTTTTGTTTCCTTCCCTCAGATGATGTTTATGTAAAACTTTTTATCAAACACATAAAGTTTTATATTTATTAAATTCTACCGACTATATTTTATCAAACATAAAGAGATATAGTAAAATATTGATTTTCATATTATTAACTTTGCTGTTTATGAAAACAACAAAAAGAGTCATCTAAAAGTCATTACAAATTTAAGAGATGGGTATTCCAAGATTTGATTTCTAGGCCCCATATCATAAAATCTTATTACAATAAAAATATATGACAAAGTGATTACAGTTTGTAATTAGTTGTTTGGTTTTGTAATATTTATAGTTTAATTTTTTTGGTTGGTGTATGTGTATTGATCCTATTTCTTTGACACGCATCTTTTTTTGCATTTAATAAAATTTTGGTCGTTTTATGGAATAAAAAAATTAACATGACTAATTAACCTCACAAATTAATCACACATCGCCATAACAACCATTCTTCACTGAACAAGGGAAGGCTTCGTCTTTCAACACCATATGTCTGTAAGAAGATGAGCTCTTAAATGAGTCATAATCAATTTATTTGCTAAACATTGGGGGATTGATGTCGCTAAATCTCCATTCCCAACACTAAATGCATTTCTATAGCACCGATAACAACACCTGAAGCATCACTAACTTTCAGTAAGTTTGAATACTTATGCATCCTTTTGTACTACGACAACCGATGTGGATGCAAAGTCAATTGATGTTTATTTTTGTTAGTAATTTTTTAATTTTTTTTTTTATCGTTTTCTAATAGTGTTGTGTCTTCCTCATATATGTCACGAGTTACCATTATACATATCATTTTTTTATAATCCACTCGTTAATTGATTATCATAATTAATGTATATAAATTGCATGACCATAGTGGAATATTCTCCAAGAAGTGATGTAGTCACTTGGTTTTTTCGCTAATTTGATGTACTTTTGTATTTACAATTGATGCAACAAAAGTACAATCTTAATAGATTTTATACGATTTATGGAAGAATATGCATTAAATAATCAATGTCACATTGTTCTACATATACTGACATGACCTTGTGCGATTCAATGGATCCATCTATTTTTACTTTCTTCTTGAAAATCCATTTTTAATGTAGTAATTTGCATCATGTGGGTAGATCCACTAGCTCTCATGTGTGATTTCTCAAGGTGGAATTCATTTCATATAGAATTTTCTCTTTCCATTGAAATCCTTTAAATGAAGTCAACACCTTTTGGATTGTTTGAGGTTCATTATCAACCTTATGAGTATAGAAATCATTCCTAAATGATTTATCTATGTCGTGACTCTACTTTGTCATCCACTTCATCATCATGTGAATGTCCATCATGATCGATTGCTTTTGGAACACTCATGTCTCTTGTATTCAAATAAGGAAACATATAACCTAAGAATGATGCATTTTTTGGATTCTGCTGTTATGTTCTTGTGAATCGCAGATGCATTTAACTCATCCCAAGAAATTGATAATACTATTGTTTTATTGATATTCAAATAAAGATGCAATCAATAGTCTCATGTCCTACAATACACTCTCACACTCAATGGTATTTATAAAGTGGATTTGTATCTATCCATTGTTTGAACATTATCTTGACTATTTTATTTCGAGTTACATTGCCTAAAAAGGTAATTAGTTGTAACATGCAACTTTGGGGTAGATTTTTAATGGTATATAATGAAAAGCTTCATCTTCTTAAGGGCATTCAGATTATAGAAGAAAACTATGATTCCTTTTCCAAGTTGAGAAAAACTTAATGTAATCTTCTTCTTCACTCTATGCTTTAGGATGCTATAATAAACAAATACATAAAAAGTTAAAACACGTTGCTATTTCTTACGTTTAGATCTATGTCGTCTAGGGTAAAAAAGTTATAATTTTTGTTAGAGTTAAATACAAAAAATAACAATATACTTTAGCTTAATTTACTTTTTCATAACCTTCTACTTTAATTTTATTTTTTACAACATTGTATTTTCATTTTTTTTATCAAGACATTTTATGTTAAAAATCACAATAATAACAATATACTTTTAAACTTTTCTTATTTAGACATTATAATAAAAAATTGTTTTGTAATTAGATGCCACTGCTATAACTAAACAAATTTATTAGGTACCAAAGCAACATACATAACCTTCCACCAAAAAAAAAAAAACAAAAACCACATCTAAAAAGTATTTACATCATTTCCATTATAAAAAAAACTTTAACATACATGATCTTCACAACTCACCATGGCAACGGGGGCCACGATGTTGTGTCAATGTACAAAAATACCCCTCATTCCTCTTTAACACTAAGATAATGTTTCTTCCTAAGTCCAACTTCGACAACCAAAGTCATCAAAGCCTCACACACTTGAGAAGCATCGGGTTCCAAGGGATCATCATTAGTGGAGGAGTAAACCATCCACGCATGGTCCAACTTCCGTTTGGGTCGAACCACGACCGACCCAGGGACCTCCGCGTCCCGACACGTCACGAGCCCATCACTCTTTTCACTGTACCGGCTCTGTAGAAGTTGAGCGCAGGCGGCCAATGTGGCTCCTAACGGGACCACAACCGGCAACACAGTCGCCGCTTGGTTTGATGATAGAGGAGGGAATGTTGGGAGCTCTGCGTGCGCCACGCGAGAAAGCGTCGCTAAAACGGTTGGTGAGATGTTGGCTTCCGTGTGGAAAGACACCACCGGGAGTTCTTTTGGTAAGTGGTGTTTTTTTAAGAATTCGCGACGCTTTTCGTAGGTTAGGTCTTCCAGGGATTGCAAGTCGCCCTTCAAAACCAAGGGTGGTTAATAACTAAATATGTCTTAGGAACTTAACTTTTATATGTTTGTTTTTTTTTTTACTCAATGGGTTAAGCTAAGCACTTAATCTTGATAGCTATACATAGAAGGGATAAGGATGCGTACCTTAATGACTTTACAAATCAAGATTTCCATAAGTTTTCGGACATTGAAGTAATCCCCAATTTGCCCTTCTCTCATAATATCGGAAGCTATAGGGCTACCACCATATGGGCTTTGTGCTAACGCGAGCCCAGCAACTTTATCTTTCAATTCCGGCCAATAAATTGATAAAGCAGCAGCTGAATCTACTCCTCCTTTACTATGGCCTAAAAGCAAAACACGCTTTTTGGAACCCCAATAGATCTCCTCGATGTACTCTTTTAGTTCTCTTGCATTCTTTTCAACCGATGCCTGAAATGTTTCATGTTAATAATAGTATAGTACAGCATTATTATTAATAATAATACCTCACTATGAATCTTAGCAATGTGACATGTCAATCCCATTTTTGAGAAAGTTGCCTTTGTAGTAGTAAAATAAAGTGGTCCATGGTTGCTAAAAAGACCTGTACCAATATTATTAAGTCCATTATTAACTAAAAAAAAAAAAAACATTGTGTAGTTAGCATCTCAAAACTTTCAAATAAAGATCTAGCTTTTCAGAAAGGGTTAAATGCAATGCCTTAATAAGAAAAGAAAAAAATTGAAAGTAGAATGCTATAAGTCTAGGAATCTGTAAATTACCTGGAACCAAGAGATAAACCACTGAGGTTGGCAACACGTGTATACCATGCCTGATGCAGGAAGAAGAAAATAAAATAAAAGATTTTTGAGGTAAATATAGCAGGTGATATTAAATATAATATATATATATATATATATATATATATAAAAAAAATAAAGAACCCTTGTACCCAATATTTTCAAGAATACTATTAAAACGTTCTGTCCCATCTTCGACAGGTGGCATCTCTGGATCCCTTTGTAGCCATCCAATGTCATCAGATGACCCATGCATTGTTTTCCGAACCCGGTCAACAAGTCTGAATGATAACATAACATAACATCATGTAAGTAAATAAATACATGTTTTGTTAAATTTAGTTATAAATTCAAAGGTCATGTCTTAATGATCTAATGAAGGCATGATTTAATCTGGACAGCTATATATATATAAAGCTTAATTAGTAAAAGAAAAGAAAGATCCCCTAAACCTAAATCAATTACCCTTGAAACATGGAAATCCCGGGTGTCCTGGTTTCATCAGATTGCACACCAGAAACATTATTTTGAGCATGATCTCCTTCAGTAATTCTTGTTATTTCCTCACGAATACGTGGTGCATTAGTAGTAGCTGTGAATGATCCTGAAACTGTGGAAGGGGGTCCACCATTGTTCCTCAATAAAGGTTCTCTCAGTTCTTCAGAAGCAAGTACCATTTTTTCAGGAGCATCAGGACCTCCAGGCACATCATCTGTGCATAAAGCTATAACATTAATCTCCTCCTCAAAAAATATATATATAGAAACTTTTGGATTTATGCATACCAGAAATAGCAGGGAAGCAACTGGTTAGATATGAAGTTGTCTCAGAAAGATAAGTTGCAGCTCCATTTACAGATGGAAATGAAGGGGGAGGTGTCTGGTTGTTCCTTATCACATTGCTGTTTACCTGAGTATTTGCAAACAGTTGTATTTATTTTGTATAAGTTAGTTGGGCATGTTTCATATAGCTTTTTATGTTCCCATAATCTATGAAGTACATCTTGTGATATTATATTGTAAATTTTTTCTTGTTTTTAGTGTGAACCATACTTTCTTGTACTTTAATACATATTTCTGCACATGTCCATTGCTTTTCTTGATTGGGTATCACATGTAACTCATTTTATCTTTGCATGTAGTACTTTAATAAATATAAGGGAAAAAGTTCATTACCATAAGTGGAATCCCTGCTCCCTCCCTGTTGGTGTTTGTAACATCCATAGCTGACACCACCTCCTAGCAAACAACCACCACATCACAAATGTATAAATACAATTAATATCAGATGTGATCAGGGTATTGGACAAAGAGAAAGAAAGAAGAGCATTCTACTCATGAAGGATTCATAGAATTATTCCAAGTGCAATGTTTAAAATGAAGAAATGAAAGTAGAATGGACATCTTATGGCAAGACAATGTATGTTTTTATATGGCTGAATCTACAAAAGAGAGCAGGTAGCTACTGAAGTTTAATCTACACAAACTTGAACACCAAATTATATCAACAAATTCTATAACACTTGTAACATAACCAAGCCTAGTTGGTCAAAATTTGACATTAACATTAGTAACATTTATATAAACAATCATTGATATTCATTTAACAAATTATCATCACATTAGGATTAACAGCATAAACTGTTAAACTTCAATGAGCAACAACTAACAGTTACAACATATTAACCAAGTTATTAACAAACTTCAAGGGAAATCAATGCCAAAATGATAGAATTACAAGGAGGATTTATGAACCAGAAACTAAACTTGCTTCAAATAAAGAAACATACACAATATCCTATTGAAAGCAAAAGTAAAGGAAAATGTGGTTTTTACCATTTATTCTAAGAACTTCTCCCTACATTTCAATCACCAAAAGAATTACTTCCTCTAGGCATCAAAAAATGGATCTTTCAAACTTCTAAATGGGTAAGGAATATAAACTTTTCAAGAAAAATTTGTACAAGTACCACAAACACAACAACTTAAAAGTGTAAACTCCAAAACTAAACCAACGTTACCTTTACATTTTATAAGTAGTAAGTTTGATATAAAAAATCATAATTTAGGTCTTTCTTCCGGACGACGGGGGCATCAACTTTTCCCAAATCACAAACACAATTTTGAAACGTTTAACAACCTCCAACACAATATTATCTTCATCATACAATTCGTTATGTTCCAACATTAAAATACAATAAAACAAAAGCACAAAATAAACGTAGGAATCAGAAATTTCATTACTTAATCCCCGGTAAGAACCCTAAAGTAGGAGACAATCGATTCGCTTACCTCCAAAAGCATGGATTTCAAACGACCAGCGCGGTAGATTTCAATTGTCCCGACGAATTCGCAGTGAATTATAGGGATTGAATCGGTTTCCCACAATTTAAATGTAGAAATAATGATGAAATATGTTCTTCAAGGTTAACGGCCAATCAACGACCCCACATATGGTCACGATTAAAATGGTTTTCCCTTGAGCAAACTGCAAAGTCACGATTAAATGGTTTTTTCTGTGAAGAAATACACGATTAATTGGTTAATGTAGTGCAGATAGGTCCAAATATAGGGTGTTACTGTTCAAGTCGGCCATACATATACATATAGATAGATACATATAGAAGGTGAAATGATCTAAGAATTTCATTGGATTAAGTGAATTGGGCCTCACCTTAAGCCCTGGTGGGCTAGTGTGGTTGATATTGGGCTTAACCGGTATTGCCGTATTGGTCCCAAAACCAGCGGCGCCTTTTTTTTTTTTTTTTTTCAAGAAAACGAAAATCCTATATCATCGAATTTGTTTTTACCGCAAAACTTTTTAAAAAATCTAACATATTTATTCGAATTTTAAAAATAAAAAAAAAATCATTATATTAGTTTTTTACTGTGTTAAAACCTATATATTTCCTGAACTTATTTAATTTAAGATTTTTTGAAACATAAATATTAGATAACTGATTCTTAAAGGTTTACTGGTTACAATTCTTTATATTTAAAATTTCATAAAATATAATGATTTTAACGCATTAAAAAAGTTATACAGCAGTTTTTTTTAATGATTTGATGAAATAGATTCGATTTTTCTAAGATCAAAAAGCCTTCAATTAAACTTTTAAAAATATAGAAGCTTTAATGCATCAAAAGATATGGTGATTTTTTTAATAATTAGATTAAAATTTGTTGGATTTTTCTAAGGTTTTGTTTTTAAGTTTTTAATCTATTAATATAAAAAAATCAAATAATTTTATGTACATCTTAATATAATAGTTTAACACGAACCAAATAAGATCACCAAACCACATAACCAACTTCATAATGAATATATTATATTAAATTAAATGTATAAATGATCTGATGATAAACCCAAGATACTTATGCTTCCATGTCTCCATAAAAAAATAGGAAATATATGTTTACGATGTTTATTGATTGATTTTCTCTATAATTTAACAAATCAATATATTCTTGAATATATAGACTTTATAATACAAGTAAATAGAAAAAGGATAAATTTAGTAATTATAAATTTTATAAATTATTGAAGATGATATATCAAAATAAGAAATCCATCTATGAGATATATCCAACTAGGTTTCGCAACAAATGTTATAAAAAAATAGTATTAACAACATCATCTCTAGCGGTGACAGAATAATAACAGCGACATCTTTAGTAATAACATCAATAGCGATAATGATGGCATTAGTCGTGACCGTTATTAATGACGATAGTAATGCAACAATATATATAGCGGCGACACTACCAACAACATATATATGATCAACAACATCGATAGTACAATAGCGGTAGTTTTTAAGCGTTGACATGTTATCACTAAAGACAATAGCAATGGCATTTGGGATCTTTAGCGGTGACATATTTCTTGTATGTAGTGTAAAACAATTTTTGGATTATGATTCTTTTTTGTTTAAAATAAAATTTATGGCACAAAACTTTATTTTATTACAGCCTTAAAATAAAAAACCATGAAGCTCCTTTTTCTTCAACAACTCATCAAATAGACATAGTGAATGATCCTATGGTTGGCACTAAGAATATAAAGAAACCCCGTTTAATTTTTTTTATGTTATTTTGTTTAGAATTGTAATTTTATGATGTTCGGTTAGGTCGGATGGTGTTTCAGGATAGTTTACTTTACTTTTCATTAAGTAATCTTTTCTTTCGGTTTTCTTTTCCTCATCAAAAGTTAGAAGTCAGGGTGTGTGAAAATTTTCTTTCGGTTTTCTTTTCCTCATCAAAAGTCAGAAGTCAGGGTGTGTGAAAAGTGGAAAGTTTTTTTTTCACTTTTTTTAAATAAAAATAATTGAATTTGATGATTTATATGTATATTTTTTAAATGAGTAATAAACATAAAAATTACTTAAATATAAAAACCACTCTATTAATTAAAAATTACATTAAAATAAGCAAAATTAAAAATTAAAAAATTAAAAAACTAGAAAATTAAATATTGAAAAAACACAAATTAAAAAATTACATCTAGTTTCCATTGGAAATATAAAAAACGACCTTCCCAATCGTCAACAATATGTAAGAATAGCTTATTCCTCATCCGGAACCGTCGTCGAAACTTCTCAGCATATACAGGTCATCTGCAAAATAGTCTATAAGACGATTGTGATCGGCTTCACGATTTCTACCCAACGGTGGTTTTCTTTTTTATATTGTGAACGTGAAGTTTGGCCTCGTCGGTTTTAAAAATATGCAACAATCTTCGTCATGACGGAACTGACAAATAATGTCTCCTCTTAAGCCGTCGAATCAGATGATGAAGATATCAACATTGTGTTTTAATGTTTTTCTTAGAAAGAATATGTAGAAATAAGTTAAAAATAATGTTGGGTTTGGTTTAGGGATGGCAAAAAAGCCCGAACCCTACGGGGAAACCCGAAACCTGATCATTTCGAGTCGGGTAACGGGTCGGTATCGGGTTTTTTATCGGGTTCGGGACAAGGAGTGGGTTATCCTCGTCCTGACCCGCCCAGCCCCGATTATATATATATATATATATATATATATATATATATATATATATATATATATATATATATATATATATATATATATATATATTATAATATATATATATATATATATAGTCAAGATCAAATAAGAAGGAAATTTTTGGTAGGAAGGTAAGAAGTTTTTTTCTACATATTTTTTTTGCGAACAAACAAAATGAATTATTAGATGATTCATTTGTAAGATGATTCACAAGAAAAAATTCTCAAAAAAAATCTCGATGATTCATTTATACAATGATTTTGTTACTATTCACTAAAATTATCATAAAATGAATTTTTTCTTAATTTACTTATAAAGGAATCATAAAGATGTTTTTCTGGGAATTTTTTCTTATGAATCATCTTACAAATGAATCATCTAGTGATTCATTTATTTTGTTTGTCAAAAAAATATATAGAAAAAAAACTTCTTACCTTCCTACCAAAAAAAATTTCTTACCGGATCTATATCCTATATATATATATATATATATATATATATATATATATATATATATATATATATATATATATATATATATATATATATATATATATATATATGTTCGAAACCTTTTGATTTTAGTTACACGCATTCAAAGATAAAATACTTATCATTGACAGATTTTTTAGTTATTAACAATCTAGCGGGGATGATAATTTTTTTTATGTTTTGACGTATTACAATAAACTTAAATCAAATAATTTTTAATATAACGTCCAGTTTATTTTATTAAAGTGATGCGTCATATTTTTAATTTAAAAGAGATGCTAGAACATGTATTTTTTATAAGACATCAGGGTACTATAAACGGAATAAAATCTTCGTTATCAATTGTTGTAAACCCGATAAGATACCCGAAACCCGACGGAAAAATCCGAAACTCAATGGAGTGTCTCGTTAAGATATCCGAAAGTTATCGGGGTGGGTTTGGGAAATTTTTCCCTGCCCCGTTGTCATTCCTAATTTGGTTGGTATTTTTAGTGGGGGAAATATATATATATATATATATATATATATATGTATATATATATATATATATTCCGATTTCTTATCGTTAAAAACAAAAACAAAAAAAAAAATTCAGCCTACATACCCCTCACCTTTTTCCCACACTGGCTTTCACGCACTGCCGATGAGGTGTTTTGGTGAGCGGGAAAGGGTCTTGTTGCCCTTCCTCTAGCACTCTGTCAAGTCTTAGGATTGAAAAATTGTTTTACGTATGTTATGGAGAAACTGATATGTGAACGAATAATAATTGGAGATGAATATAAAGTTCAAAATTCAAAATAAGAAGAAAGCTAAACAGCTAAATTAAATTGCTCTTTGAAATAATCAACGTACAACCATTACAACATTAACACCCTTTGGTGTCGATATTTTATGAACTTAATAGGGATGGAGTATGTTGACGACATGTCATCGGCACATAGTCGTTCGCATAGGTGTTGTCGACAGTGACGGAGCTTCAACATTTGATTTGAGAGGATCGAAAATATAATATGTATAAAAACTAGTGGGCAAAGGTGCAAAACCAAATTTTATATTTTTGGGCCTAATATATAAAAAATTTAAGTATAGAAATTAGTGTTAACCCCCTCCCCAAAACCGCACCCTGGGGGCGGTGTTCCTGTCCCACGTGGCGCAACCGCGGTTCCAAACCGCATACCACACCGAGAAGCCTAAGCTTTGATTTGTGTTGAAATCTAATGACATATGTGAATGAATGTTCAATTAATGTCTTTTAATGTGTAATAATTTTAGGAAATCTTCACAGAAAAAGGAACGAATTGAATATTTCCTCCACCATACTTTAGAAATCGATTGGTTATGAAATAGATCGGATTCAATATTGCATCCAGAGTCGTCTCTGGGTGATAGGGACGATCGTCGAGGGTCCATCTTATATAGGGGCCCAAAATTTTTATTGACTTTATTAGTTATATATTAGACAACATCCATGATTACTAATTTTGCAAGTCAAAAAACTAAAGAAATACTTTTCTTTAAATATATGGATTTTTGTAACTAAAATATTATATTTAGAAACTAATATAAATAAAATTCTTTCCATTATTTTGTTATTATAAAATAATTAATAAAATTTATGTATTTTAAGAGATTTTTTTTTTCATCGTGGATCCAAAATAGATTTGAAACGGCCTTGATTCCATCTTATTTATTTCATAACAGAGAACATCATGACAATTAAGTCTCTCTGAATTCTATGGAAAACCATGATTTCCTTCAATGTAATATTTTCGTGTGTTGGCTAAAAAGATACCTAATTTTACCATATAAATATCTTAATTAATTTTTAAAATATTTTTATTAAAAAATTAAATAAGTAATCGATTATAAGTTGACTATCTCTAAGAATGTTTTATTACCGATACCTTATTTTCGGGTCGATGGAAATGTTAGTTGAAACAAAGCTACCATATATATACGTCAGCAAAAGTGTGACACTACAAGAAACATTGTATCCAATAATAAAGAATCCTTTGAAATAAATAATAATTAATAATAAAACGAAGTCAAGCTTAATTTCA